ATTAAATTTAAAATCGACCCACAGAGATTTCAAGCTTTCATTTGAAAAAAAGTTCATCATTTTACGACGATTTTTCGCGGAGTTACCGTTAACCAAAGTTGACCAATTTTTGCTCAAAATTTTTCTATGCCATAATTTTTTTGAGCAGTGTATATCGATAAATGCCAATTTAGGGAAGAATATAGATTTTTTCAATTACTTATATCATAAGATTTGCAGAAATTTTTACTTTATAAAAAACAATTTTATTCAATAAATTTTACAATAATTTTTTGTAGTACTTTAATACTCGCCTGTTACAAAATGTGTAATCTTCTGATAAACTCGACGAACTGCCGCTGCAGTCGGAGGGTTCTAGCTCTATTTAAACCGAAAAAATAGAGATGGTCTGGAAGATTCTGAAAGATTCTGCGGTTAGCGAGTAATCACATGATTCATTCGTTATTATATCGGAAAGTAGAAAATTCTAGGGCTAGCGAGTCACAGTATTCTTAAAAATATCTTAATATGAACATGTACAGTACCGGAAAGTACAGTACATGTTCATATTAAGTACAGTACAGTACAGAAGTTTGGACGCACTACGCGATTTTCCTTATTCGTTTAATAAAAGCGAATTTGACGTAGATAACGGGAGTTGTATGCTTAAAAATATAATGTTTTGAGAATAGTGTGCCGAGTAATGTAAATATAAAAAGCACTGGTTCGCACCATTGTCTTCTGTCATGTTTATATTATTTTTAAGACATCAAACAAGAACTTATTGCAAAGTACTGGCCGTTGAGTACAAACATATAGGCGCTGAGTTGAAAAGTTGCGCGAGAGTTGCAAAACAGTAGGTATATCGGCCTTCGATTATACCGTTTGTAACATACATATTTATATACAGGGTGTCTCCGTATAAGTGGCTATCCCTTTTTATCTCGTAAACTAACAGAACAGAGATAGACCTAATAAATATAATATCAAATTAAACGGCTCTGACTAAACTTATTGTAAGTGGCCACATCGCAGAACCGAAATTGAAAAGGTAGTAACAAAACCTTAAACCAAAATAACTTTTATAATTCGTAAGATAATTTTGTTATATCATACATTGTTGCGTTTGTTAAAAAGGACGCTACAAGTTTTATCATATTAAAATTGTCACTTTATCGTGCAAAAATTTATCATGTCTTTCCGCTCTCTAACATAGATTTTATTTCTAAGTAATCACTGTGCTTACAATAAAGTTTAGTCAGAGCCGTTTAATTTGATATTATATTTATTAGTTCTATCTTTGTTAGTTTACGAGATAAAAAGGGGGGGTGGCTTTATACGGGGACACCCTGTATATATATAATTTAAAGTCTGTCATATGGTATAAGCAAGTGGAATCCAAGGTGTCCGCATTTTCCTACTCATACGTCCGTTTCGTAAACGATCTCACAGATCTGGTATGGTCAATAATTTTTTTCATGATTTAATTATGGAAGTCCGTAGCGTCATCCGAGATGTACGAATGTAAAAATGTTTAAATTATCAACGAGCACTTTTCCCTCGGAGGTAAAACAAGGATATTCAATAAGTCAATGTTGAATTGAAAAAATTTTGTTTTCCAATTTAACATCTTTCATATTTTTGTATATGTTTAATATTATATTTTTATAAGCAAGTAGGTATATCCTGCGTCGGCTCACTCTGCAGCTCTTATCCTAATATTCACTGAATTTTATTTATGAGCCTTTGGTACAATTTTATATTAATTTATAAGTTTAAATAATTTTTGAAAGTAATAATTATACTATAATATTAATCATTGTGGGCATTAATAAATTGAGCAGATTCATTAGTACATAAAGATCCTCTTCATTATCACATCGAATTATCAGAAGAAATTTATTTGTGGAGTCTTATTGTAATTTTTCTTATTTATTAATTTTTTGTATACGAATCAATTATGAACATTTATTAACGTAAATCTTTCTTAAAAAAAAAAAAAATTTTAGTCAACCGATTGTAAGAGTTCTAAACGTGACATGATATAATATGACGACCTGTGCGGCACGTCATTCTTATATAACGGCAAGTTTTCTTTCTATGAAGATTTAAAACGATTTAATTCAAAAGACACGTAATAATTTTATGAGATAGGGACAAATTTTACACGGAGTGGATGAGAAGGATTAAGTATTATATCCGTCTGCAGCCGAAGATCTTTCAAGTAGTCAACAGGCTCCACGTAGAAATTGTGTATCAAATGGGTTATCATTGCCTTCATTTCCAGCATAGCAAATCGTTGGCCTGTAAATATAATATATCACAATCTGTTTATATAACAAAGTATTAAGAAACTATAGCATACCAATGCAGTTACGTGGTCCGGCACTGAATGGTAAATACGAGTAAGGGTGACGATTTCGGGTATTCCCAGGTAAAAATCTATCTGGATCAAATACTTCTGGATCTGGCCAAAAATTGGGATCTCTGTGAGCTGCGTAAATAAGAAGTTGCACCGTTGTTCCAGCAGGTACTACATATGACTCTACAAAGCATA